ATGATCTTTTGACCACATCTAATCAGTCAGACCACAAATACGTGACAGGCCCATTCGCTGCCTAGTTCCTGAATGCCAAGACCAAAGCCACAACGCTCACAGGCCATTCTGCCATGAGCTGGAGAATGCCTACACACCAGCCAACAAGTCCCCTGCTCATCCTCCATGTGGATTCCCCAGGGCAGAGATGGCAGGACCCTTAGAGTTACTCTGACGCTGTACACCATTACCAAGGGATCAAGTGGCTCTGATTACACCTTGTGACACAGCTATGTCCTCCCTTCCCGTTGAACTGACCATGAGCAATCGGGTGAAGGCAGATGCTGGCCTCCAGTGAGAACCAGAAACTCCATTCACAGTCATGGCCTTCATGCGCTGTGCGGGGATTTTGTTTCTCGTCTACACTGCAGGCCTGTTTTGCTCAATGGAGGTTTTTGTCTGGGGCCAGTCTCTCCTTTTCCATTGTACGGTGTGAAAGACAAACCAGCACCAGGAACCGGGTCCTTGTACCCTCTGCTCCAGGATTCTCCCTCCACTCCAAGTGCGGGCTAGGACCCGGCTCCCAGCATGCTCTCTGCCCTCCCGCATGGCAGTCTGCAGCACTCCTGTCGGTACTGGCTGGACAATTCTGCCGTGGGGACCGTCCTGGGCAACTTTGCGGCATCCCTGGTCTCTATGCACGAGATGCCAGTAGCACCTCCCACCCACCAGACCCAAAATGTTCCCCAAGTTGTCCCTGGCTCAGAATCGCTGTTCCAGAGCTTTGGCAAGAATCAAGTTTCCCAGTTTGGCTCATAGCCAATGACTGGCTGATACTGGGGTGCGAAAGGCCAGCTCCCTGGCTCTAGCTGTCCCTAGAGAGGGAGCAACTGTGCAGAGTGAGTTTATGATGAGCTTATGATGGAGAGTCCCCTCCCCGCTATGGGCCAGCCCGGCTCTGGGTTTGGCAGGAGACCACGCAGTGCTTGGCGATTAACCCTTATCTAGAAGGACTTTCTCAAGCACCCTATTTATGGAATGAATTATGTCCCCTGAAAAGACATTCTGAAGTCCTAACTGCCAGTACCTCAGAATGTGACCTAAGGGCATTGCCGACATATAGAAGGCCTCCAACTCACAGTGGCTTGACTTACAATGTTTTGACTTTATTATGGCATGAAAGGGAGCCCATAAAAACACCGGTTTCCATTCTCAGTAGAGTTCAACACCTCAGGCAACACTTGGTTGTAAAGCAGAACTTGCTCTAGACGGTCTGGCCCCGCGTAGGCTGATCCAAGCGTTCTGCGGGCATTTAAACCCGGCCGAGCCAAACTCGTGTGCAGCAGATCCAGGGGCATGAACTGCACTTGGGACTCAGGATGCGCTAGCTGGGATGTGACCCTGTCTTAAGTCCAGGAGCACCTATGATGATTTTATCTAGGATGAGGTCACACTGGAGCGGAGCCAGTCCTAATCCACATGACAGGTGTCCTGGGAGACACACCCGGGGAGAAGCTGGCCATTGACAGCCAAGACAGAGAGCAGACAAATGCAGCTGGGAGCCAGGAAAGGTTGAGAAGCACCCGCAAGCCAGAAGCCAGGAGGGAGCCAGAGGGAAAGACCGCGGAAGCTGTGAGGGAGCCTGGCTGTACCGGTGCCTCCATCTTGGAGGCTGAGCCTCCAGGACTCCAAGACAATACATTTCTGGAGTGTTAAGAGACACGGATTCGTGCCCAGGAAACTAACCCACGTCCCCATCCCTGTCATAGGCTGTGCTTCCAGAGAACCCAACATAACCAACTGGTCTTTCCGCCCAGAGAGCGCGGAGCCCCAGGAGAGCAGGACACTCTTCCCTGCAAGTCAGCACGAGCTCCTTGTCTCTCAGAAAGTATGGCTCTGGCATTCAAAGAGAAATCCATGAAGCACGATTCCCCCAAGTCAGTGTCACTAACATGAAAACTCTCAGTTAAGATCCACAGATTCGGCTGGGGTTGTGGCTCAGCGGTAGAGCGCTCCCCTAGCACGGGCGGGACGCGGGTTCAATCCCCAGCACCACATAAAAATAAAGGCATTGTGTTGTGTCCATCTACACCTAAAAAATAAATATTAAAAAAAAAAAAGATCCACTGATTCCCCAACTGCAAGCTGGACCTCCTGTGTTGGAATCAGGGGAAGACGGTGGTGCCCTCCAAAGGGTTTTTTCAAGGGCAGATGTGACCACACTCAATGAAGCAGGCACCTTGGTCCCTGCACGAGGCGCACTATATACTAAGAACTGCCATTTGCAAGTCTGTGTCCTCTGCTAGTGGAGAGTTCCCTGTATGATATTTATTTTGTTGATCCAACTAAAGATCTCTGGCACCTAATAGGACCTTAAGAAAAATAGGAGAAAAAAAAACTGAGCAAACTAGAAAAGAAGAAAGAACAAAGGGTAATAAGGGGGGAAGAGACAGAAAAATCTATCCAAAGGGTCTAGATGATTCTCCCAACACTGCTCTAAGCAGTTGCAAAAAAATAAATAAATAAATAAAGTTCTCTTAATCGTAAGAGGGGCACAAGAGGAGTCCTCAGCCAGGACTTCAGGGCCAAACCCACAGTGACAGGAAGGAACAGCCACCATCCGCCTGCCAACAGCACGGTAGCAAGCTCTGAAGCCCCGATGTGACATCACAGAGCGCAGATGAGCAATCCGAGCTGTTCCCACGCTTGAGAGATCTCAGTCTTACACACTTGGAGCTCACGGAGGTCCCCGGAGGTCCCCAGAGGTCCTCAGTGAAACTAAGGCCCGACCTGCAGCTCATGCCGAGGACAGGGAGCCGGCCTGTCACCAGGGACAAACCTGCTTCCACAATGACAGAAGCCAGGCCCTGCTGTCTCTCTTGAGGAGGAAGGCAGACAGCCGTCCTTAGAGTCACTCGGCTTCTGAAATGGCAGCTGCCCTGCTTTAAGAAGCCACGAGGTGGGGAGTGGGCAGACAGCCTCTCCCCCCGTGGCCTTCCCCATGACGCCCACGCAGGTGTCATGACTGCGTCCTGACAGGAGCTGCCCCTGGGGTGGGCTAACCACACACCAGCCAGGTGACCCAGGAGACCCCTTAACTCCGAGCTCACACCTGCACGGTGGTGTCCCTCCCTCCACTCCACCTGGACCTCCCGATTCCCTGTGAGACAGCACGGGGACCCTCGCACAGCCAGGACGTGGCGGGGAGGATGAGCACCGGTCACTTCCTTCACGCTTACCAGACTGAGGGTGGCCCAGTTCCCCTCCCCTGGGTCCATCTCCCAGCCCTGTGTCTGCTGCTGCCATCCCACAAGTTTCCGTAAGTCACCAGATGTCAAGCATCACGGGAGACACACAGGAAGCACCCAACCCACCCCGCTGGTAGTCCCAGGAGGGAAGATCCGCCCAGAGGAACGGCCAGGTGCTGGGCTGGGGTGACAGCAGACGCAGCCAACACCTTGCCCACCCTCTCCCCGCCCTCAGCACCTCAGCACAGCCCGCCTGCCAGCCAGCTGCCACCACCTGCACTCGGGGACACGTGCAGAGGTCAGAGGTCTCCTGGCCTGCCAGTGCCACAGACCCGGGGTGTCAGGGAATGGACCTCCCGATTCCCAGCAGCCCTCCATCAGTGACCAGCCCAGCAGAAGCTGGTGGACAAACACCCAGCACCTCGCCCCTCTGCGGCGTGATCCACATGAGCACCCAGTTTCCACAGCAGGGGGGAGGAACTAGTCACCTCCTGGGACAGCCAGCTAGATCATGCATCCTGTCACCTCCTGGGGTCCCCTCCCTCATAAACAACTTGCTTTGCCTCAGGGTCTTCTTGAGGAATCCAAACTAAGGGAGGGATCAATCTCTACCATTGAACACACACTCACACACACTGATAGTGGAACAGTCTCTTTTGTCCCCGTGTTTAGAACCTGCACCTGAGGGTTGGGGGTGAAGCTCAGGTACACAGTGTGTGCACAGCATGCATGAGGCCCTGGGTTTGGTCCCCTGTACCCGGCAAAAGCTGCACCCCTAGATGTGGAGCAGGGTCATCGAACCTTTGGCCAAGAGAGCACAGCTTTGAGGTGCACGTGGCGTGTTCATGTAAAACGATCCTGCCGCAGGGGTGGACTGTGGTCACCTGTGTGACAGCTGGATGGGCCTCCTACTGGTTGGGTCTTCCCCTTGCCTGGGGCGGAGGGGGCGGTCCAGATCCTCCTACCCAGCCCTGGGTGGCCTCCCAGCAGCAGCCAATCACAGGTCCCCCGCTGCGGGGGTGGGGGTGGGGGGACGGGAAGCCAATCTAACAATTTGCCTGAAAAATATCCATGCATCAGCCAATTCTCCTGCTCACTTTTTTTTTTCCCCCCAAATCAATTTCTGGAAGTCAGAATGACGGATAGCTTTATACCCCAGACAATCATTCTCCTGATTAAATAACTCAACATCAATAACAGAACAAGTCCCAGAGTGGTGCTGGTTACATGAACCTACATATGTGGTGAGATTTCACACACAAACGCGCCCCGCCCCCAACACACACACCCGTGCAAAAAAAAAAAAAAAACTAAACCCAAAAAACAGGGATATCTGAGCCAGGCCTAGGCTAATCACCATTATCCATTTCTTGATGTGGATAATGTACTTTGGGGTACATTGAAATGCTGTCCTTGGGGGACAGAGGACACAGGAACTGCACGCGCTTTCCTCAACCTCTTGGGAGTCAAAAATCATGTCAAAAAAATTTAAATAATATCTGGGTGCATGACTCACGCCTGTCATGCCAGCCTCGTGGAGGCTGAGGCAGGAGGATCTCGAGTTCAAAGCCAGCCTCAGCCAAAGCGAGGCACTAAGCAGCTCAGGGAGACCCTGTCTCTAAATAAAATACAAAATAGGGCTGTGGATGTGGCTCCGTGGTCGAGTGCCCCTGAGTTCAATCCCCAGAACCCCTGCCCAAGAAAAAATTAAATAATAAAATCAAATTAAAATGATGTTTTTTTCTCAAAGCTGCCGAGGAAGCGCACCCTTACCTGAGAGCTGGGGATCAGCGCCTTCCACCAGTGCCCGCCCTTCACCAGGTCCACCTCGCACAGGGGCACGGACACTTTCCCAATGACGCAGTGGCGGGAGAACTTATCAAAGTCCACCACGGTCAGGAGCAGGGTCCTCCTCTGGGCCTCGAGGAAGGGGATCTCGAAGGTGTAGCGCTCCTCGAACACGGGCTTCTGGGTCTTGCGCTTGACCGCGGTCTGCTTGGAGTTCTTCTGGTCGGGCAGCAGGCAGATCTTGACGTAGGGGTTGGAGTGCGCCAGGTCCTGGCGCGCGCCGTCGTGGGAGATGGGGGGCGGCAGGTCCCGGGCCTCGATCACGCGCACCGTCAGGTGGTTGTGCAGCAGGTCGTACTGCGTGCTGAAGTGCAGCATGCCCAGCTGGTACCTGGACAGGATCTCCTCGTCCGTCAGCGAGTCCACGTCGTCGCTGCTCGAGTCCAGGGAGTAGAGCCGGGGCTCGAACTTCCTGAAGTAGTCGTCGGGGGTGTAGGTCCGGCGCAGCACCGACGGCTGGATGGGCTCCTTCTTGGCGCTGAGGACGCCAAACTCAATGGGTTTGATGTCGATGAGCGGGGAGCTGGGGCGCCGCGACTCCAGACCTACACGGCCCCAAGAAATGACAGTGAGTACCGCCACCTGGAGGACATCGGCAGCAGCCGACAGGTTCTCAGTGTCCACTCTGCTCTGAATGCTCTTCTCTGCACACTTGGAAAAACGGCTGTCCCTCCCTCTGTGCGGGGGACTGGTCCTAGGATCCCCCGAGATACCAAAAATAGGTGGGGGTTCAAGTCCTTGGTATTAAGCTGGGGTGGTGTTTGGGGCACAGAACAGGGGCACATCCACTTGTCCCTTTCCAGGTTATCTATAACCCCCAGTCCCCTCTCAGTGCCAAGTCCTATGGAAATAACTGTCCTACTGTGTGGTTGAGGGATAAGACCAGGTCTGTACATGTCCCATGCAGACGCTTTCTTCTTTCTCTGAGTATTTCTGATCCACAGCTGGTGGAACATGGGGACACAAAACCCTTTTTATATTGAGACAGAGTCTTGCTAAGTTGCTTAGGGCCTTGCTAAGTTGTTGAGGCTGGCTTTGAACTCGGAATCCTCATGCCTCAGCCTTCCAAGCCACTGGGATTACAGACGTGTGACACAGGGCCGAGTGGACTCTCCATTTACACCAAGATCACACCATCGCCACCCTCACAGCAGCCAAGGGCCAGGTACCTTCTAGACGGACCGCGTGTCCCAGGTCACCTGATCTTTTCAGCCCCTTGAATTATTAGTTTCACTCTCGTCCCCGTTTTACAGACGAGGAAGCAGAAACTTTAAGGAACGTCCCAAAGGTCACAGGCTTCTAGGTGGAGGAACCAGGTGACGAGCCTGGCCCATCTGGCTCTGGTCAGGACCCTGGGCTGCCCCTCCTGTAAGAGCCAGCGTGCCTGGCTCAGACTCCACTTGTCTAGTTATTCCTGAGCGCTGGGACTCGGGGCACTTTATTACAGATTCTCTGGGGCTCAGTTTTCCCATCTGTAAATTTGAGTCAGTGCCGGCTCCTACATCAAAGATGGTGGCACAGGTGCCTCCCCCCCACCATGAACCTGCAGAGGTCAAGGCCCCCACATCTGTCTCTCTAATCTTTGCTCCTCCCTCTGTTCTAAAGATGACCTCATCGCATTCTCTCTCTCTCTCTCTTTTTTTTTTTGGTACCAGGGATTGAACCAGGGGTGCTTTACCACTGAGCCACATCCCCAGCCCTTTTTATTTTGAAACAGAGTCCCGCTAAGTTGCTGAGGCTGGCTTTGAACTTGCAATCCTCCTGTCTCAGCCTCCTGAGTTGCTGGGATTACAGGCATCCACCATCTCACTCAGCACAGCATTCTTAATTAATTGCCCGAACATCTGTTTTGCCAGCAAACATCATCAGACTCCTGCCTGAGGCACGGGAGGTCTGCGGATAACTGTGAGAACAAAATCCCCCATATTCAGAGCTGGGAGTGAGACTTGGGAATCATGGAGACCAGCGCTGTCCACAGAAATACAATGAGAGCCAGGAGCGCAAGCCGTGAGAGTGACTTAAAATGATCTAGCCGCCACAACTTTTAAAACATGCAGAGAAACAGGTGAAATCAATTTTCACAATTTATTATTTGACCTACTAGTTGAGCATCACTCATCTCAAAACTCAAAATCTGAAATACTCCAAAATCCAAAAGTTTGGGGGAAGAGACGGGGGTATCAGGGATTGAACCCAGGGGTGCTCGACACCTGAGCCACATCCCCAGCACATTGAGACAGAGTCTCACTGAGTTGCCTAGGGCCTCGATAAGTTGCTGAGGCTGCCTTTGAACTTGCAATCCTCCTGCCTCAGCCTCCCAAGCCACTGGGATTACAGACATGTGTCACTTTGCCTGGCCAGAATCCAAATTTTTGAGCACCAACATGATGCCAAGGGTGGAAAATGCCACGCCTGACCTCATGTGACAGGTGGCTGTCAAAACACTAGGCACACTAAAAATACAGTATAAAATTACCTTCAGACTCTGCATGGAAGATGTATATGAAGCATAAATGAATTTCACGATTTGACGTGGGTCCTACCCTCAAGATATTTCCTGATGTCTCTGCAAATATTCTAAAATCTGAAATCTGAAACGCTACCGACCCCAAGCATTTCAGATGAGGGACACCCAATCTGTATATCCAAAATATCATTCTGACATGTGACTAATACAAAAACATTTCCATTTAAAATGTGTAAAATTCTGACATGTAATTAATACAAAAACATTTTAGTTTAAAGTGTTTAACATATTTTAAATTCTCTTTTTCATACCATCTTCAAAGTCTAGAGTGTGTTTTACGTTTTTACCCCTCCCAACCTGGCCCAGTGCCACTTCTGTGCCCAACAACAAGGTGTGGCTGGTGGCTGTTGCACCAGACAGCAACGTCTAGAGCTCAGGAGGCTTAAGAAGCTTAAGATGCCCTCAGTCCCCCTGATTCAAGACCTGAACTTTTTCCCCCCTATTTCCTTTCTCATCTGCTCCCAGCAATAGAAGCCAATTACCTCCACCTGAATGGATTTGTCACTTTTGAATTTTAAGATTTTTTCTTTCCATTAAAAGAATCTTGGAGCCAGGCATGGGGGCATGCGCCTGTAATCTCAGCAGCTCAGGAGGCTGAGGCAGGAGGATTCTAAGTTCAAAGCCAGCCTCAGCAACTTAGCAAGGCCCTAAGCAACTCAGTGAGACCCTGTCTCTAAAGAAACATACAAAAGAAAAGGGCTGAGGATGGGGCTCAGTGGCTAAGCACCCCTAGGTTCAATCCCCAGTTCTCCTGGACCCATAAAAGAAAATCTAGGACATCAACTAAATAAGATCAAGATAGTTTGGGGGAGTGATAGGAGGTGGGAGTCTTTGGACTTTCTTCTTCTTCCTCCTCTTTTCAACCCAAATCTTTCCATCTGGTCAAATGCACAAGGTACACAGCAGAGTGGACAAAATGGGTGGTCAAACTGACCCGAATATGCATTTTTTTTTTTTAGGTTCAAAAGTAAGAAAATTTCATACACAACCCCAGGTGGCCAGCTTCTCTTAAGAAAGATCAGGCCACACTGGGACCAAGGCCTTGAGTTTTGAGACCTGAGCAGCAGCCACCAGGGCCCTTTCAATGAGACGTGAGCTTTCTAGTTGGCCACAGTCCCCACTCTGCCCTAGAACTCTACACCAGAGCATCAGCTGCCACTCGTCTCTACATGAGGGAAAGGTCTGTCTCTAACCAACCCTCTGGCACAACCCCAAAGTCACCTGAATTAGCAAGCCCTGGGCTACAACGCGGCAACACTCTCCTTTTAGGATCTAAAATGATACATGGGAGAATGTCAATCAACTGAGCAGAGTCAATCGAACGGGTGATCAGTAAGAGCAAAAATCAATCAAAATGATCACTCTTGACCGAGCTCAGCAGAAATCAGGGAGGTGTGACCTACTCCTCTTTCACATCATCATCTGTGTCACCTTGTCTCTTAGACTGTCACCCACTCCACCTCCTCCCCCCAGCAATGATGCCCTTCCCCCTTTCTCCTTGGGGACACTGCTGAGTGCCTGGGAAAGCCAGCCAGGACCCCCAAGGGTCCCAGCAGGGACACTTACTGGAAATCCTCCGCGTCAGGCTGTATGTGGACTTGGATGTGTCTGAGGACGAGCGTCTCCCATCTGGGGAGTTGGTCCGGGGAGTGAGGGGGACATCGCTGGCTGTGTGGACGGAGTCACCATCCTTCTCGCTGCTCCGGCTGGCCATCCTATGGCGGGGAAGAGGGGCCGCGGGTTGTCGAGCAATCCCCGGGGGATGTGCCCCCCGACCCCCAATTTCATTGGCTGCCTGCACCTTTTATGCACCAGGAGCAGGAAGCAAGCGCATCTCCAATGGCTGAGGGCAGACCCTGGCACGGGATGAAAGACACCCCCAGGGAAGTGACTCTCAGATCCGTTCCATGCACTTGATGCAACTTGGAATAACACAGGTTATAGTGTGGTCACCTTAGACTCTCCGTAGCATCTTGCTTTTTGTACAAAATGTGACGTGATGTCCAGGAATAGTCCCCAATGTAGACCAATCTGTCAGGGATTTGCATTATTTCAAAGCTGGAGTTGGGTGGGGAGGGGGATGTGTAAATTCAGGCTGTTGCCACGTCGGGGCGCCACTTTGGCTAAGTGAAGACAGAGACCTGTCAAGGAGACCTGTCCATCTTGGATCCAAAAGGGTACCTCGTGGTTGTTTATAGGCATCCAAATTTGTGCAAGTGGCTTCTGGTGACAAGAGTCCTACTATTTCAACAGTCCCTGCGTCTATAATTTAACATCCTTCAAAAATCTCCCATAACAATGTCACTCAAAGGTTCTCTGAGTGGCAGGGCATCCACTGCAAAACAGCCCGGAGAATCAATGATTTAAGAACAGAAATTCGATGGGAAGAAACAGCCATGAATTTGCAGCAGCACCAACAGCCATGCCTCCAAGTGCCCTCCCCCCACAAGAAGGGACACATAAGGTTCTGGGGGGGGGGGACGAGGAGATGGGGGGCGAGCAGGGAAGAAGTGATAGGAGGTGGTCACTCTGCGCCCTGGCTGGGTGATAGGGGCAAGTTCCTGCCCCTTTCTGAGCCTCCATTTCCCCACAGTGCTGCCTTGTGTGGCTGCCGTACCTGCTGGACACATTAACACATAGAAGATGCTAGAACAATGTTTGGTATGCAGTGGGCAGGCGCTCGGTGCACGTCAGTGATGTCATGACAACAGGTGTGGCTTCAGGGTCTCCTGAATACCCACCAGGCTGCTGAGGAGGCTGGGGAGGGCAGGGGGCAGGGAAAGCTGGCAATGCGGACGGGGAATCTGCAGCTCCTAAGGCCCCTGAGTCACCAGGGCTGCGGTCCACCCTCCAGGCCACTCCCCCAGCCTGAGCTTTCCACCTGCGGCAGGTGATTTCCAGGAAGTCTCCACAGGCAGAGCTGAGACTGCGCCAGGTGCCTCCGACGGCAGGGGAGGGGGACAGGCAGGACCCCAGGCCCGGGTGCTGAGAGAGAAGAGCGAGAGGGGTGTGCTCACTCCCTGCCGCGGGTCAGTGAAGGCGCAGGTAGCAGATGAGGGCGGGGCAGGGGCGCGGGGACAAGCTGAAGCCGTCTCCTTTAATGGAAGCAGCCTCCTCCTCCAGGGAAGGAAGGACCTGAGGGTCTCCACCCGGGGCGCCTGGGGCACCTGTCCTCCTGCCAGGACTTGAATGTCACCACCCCAAAGCCTCCCAGACACAATCGCCGGCCTCTGCCGCCACCAGACCCATGCCGTCCCTCCATCAGGCCCAGCCATGCTGTTCTCCTGCCCAGAGTGCCCCTCAAGTCCCCGGGACCAGCGTCTTTTCTCTCTCTCTCTCTCTCTCTTTTTTTTTTTTTTGTACCAGGGATTGAACTTAGGAGCACCTGACCCCTGAGCCCCATCCCCAGCCCTATTTTGCATTGTATTTAGAGACAGGGTCTCATTGAGTTGCTTAGGGCCTCGCTATTGCTGAGGCTGGCTTTGAACTCGAGATCCTCCTGCCTCAGCCTCCCGAACCGCTGAGATGGCAGGTGTGTGCCATGGCGCCCGGCTCCAGTTCCTTCTTAATGTTTAGGTTGCCGAGGGTCCCCATCCTGTGCTGGTCACCTCCCCGCCCACCATATCCCCCTGCTGTACTCCCTGAGGGCTCCTCCTCCGCCTCTGGCACCACACGGCAGCTCCCTGTGGGGGACTGTGCCCACCCACCTGGCCTCTCGCGGTGCCTGGCACACTGAGATGCCCCACATTTCTCTTTTCAATGAATGAATGAACACGCCTTGCCCGGGGTCCTTATCTGAGTCTCACGTCACAGGTCTCTGAGTGAATGTCCCTTGTCCCCTCTCTCCCCTCTCACACGGGGTTACGCTGCTGAATGGGGGGGTCTGTGCTCGTGGTAATGAAAGATTCCAGGCGCCGAGCACCTGTGGCGTGCCAGGACGTGCACCAACGCACCACTTCACTTCACCTTTCATGCAACCAGGGGTCAGGGTGAACCCCGTCCCCTCCCTCAGGGGTCCTGAAATCGAAGCCCCAGGGCCACACGTGGGGGACAGAGGGATAGGGAACAGGCACAACCGTGATGAGCAGGGCCCCAACTGAGCCCAGTATAATGTTGAGGTCTGCAAGTGGGGCATCCCCTGTGGGACCGGTCCCCGCTGTGCACACGCTAGACACTTAAGGTATGCGCCAGGGACAAATAAATAAGCACCATTATTTGATTGTTACTCCTCAACAAGGGATGCTCTGACGTGACCCCACAGCAGCCAATCAGATCATGGTTTTTCGGACCCTTACCAGCCCAGCCCCACCCAGCTGAAGAAAGCTGGTGACAGTGAGCACGTGACAATAAGGTGTCCCCCGAGATCACCTGCAGAGCACAGGCAAAGGGCCAGCTCCTCTGCCACGTGCCGCTACACAGAGGCGCGCCCAGTGGCTCCCAGCTCCCATGTCACTGTAGGAGCAGCTCCGCCAAGCCGGCGCTAGTGACATCTCTCCTCCCTGCCTGTTCGATAACATTCAACTGCCCACTTGGTAAATAAATCTGGGGCGAACACAAGCTGTAAATTCGCTTTCTGAACGACGTACCCTGCCTCCCTGGCACAGATTTCGCATGCCCTGTCGCATTCGGTCGAGTGCCCAAAAGTGGGTTAAGCGCTGCTCGGGGTCAAGGGGAGGAGACCTGGTTCATCCTGGGAAGCGTGAAGCTCATGCATGGCTGTTCACGCTGCAGACTGCACAACTCTAGATGGTGCCATTCAGCCAGACCACATTGTGAAGGATGCCATCTGGAGTGTGCGTGGTGTGCTGACCCCAGAGGGAAAGTTCCGGTCCCCTTCTTCCATCTCGGCTTGCGGCAAAACCAAAGGACATGGGTCTACTTGTGGTATCTGCCCACCCGGGGCCCATTCCCTCCTCTCTGGAGTCAGCAAACCGCAGAGCCAGACCCGCCCGACCTTGGAATGGTGTGTCACTGGATTGCAGCCATGTCCCTCAGTTCTGTCTTATCAAGGCTGCTATCACACAGCTGCAGGAGAGGGAAGAGGTTGCCATATGGCCCCTCGGTTAAATATTCACCCTCCGGCTCCTGACGGGAAACAGTCGCCAGTCCTCGATGCCCCAGCTTAGCTCCTGTGTGATGGTGGCTCTGGGGTGGGCAGGCGACCCAGAATGATTCTAAAGCATCATTCCTCCAAGGGGAGGGCTAGGTCAAGTGACTGACCCCAGGACACAAGCCAGGCCAGTGAGTCTCTCCTAGTTTGGGTTTCTTTGTAATTTTTTTTTTCTTGCTACAAAGACAATAGAAGGTAAGTCTAGTGCTAGCATGTGGGCAGAGCAGGCCCATTCAAAAAAGAAACAGAAGAAAGAAACGATATCACGTGAGCTACTGGATCCAGCCATGCCTGAAGCCCTCATCCACAGACTATCCATAACAAGACCCTCTGCGGGGCTGTCCCATACGGTGTGCAGGGTGTGAGTGCACAACGCATGGGGGCAACTGGACTTCCCCACCTGACTTAGGTCCTCTATGAAATCCAAAATCCCCCAGCATGATAACAGGACCCCAGCTCTGTGTGTACTCAGGAAGTAACTACCAAAAAAATGACAGTCACTTTTCAACTGGATGGCTGGCACTTCCGGGATTCCTTTTCCACCTGTAGGTTAAACTGGTTTGTTTTTTTTTTTTAAATGGACAAGACAGGCACAATTCCCTGTCCTGCCAGAGTCCGCCCTCTTGCAAGCAGAGCTTTAATGAGACCAGATGGGCTGAGCCAGTGTCTGCCACAGAAGCTGCCGCAAGGTGGGAATTACTTCTCGATGAATGAGTTGCTTTCACCAACGTCTCAACTTCAGACACACTCAGAGGACTCGGGCTGCCCACAGATAATGGAAGAGATCCTCAGCACCTTGACCCCAGCTTCAAGGCTCTCTATCCACAGCTAGTAATGGCAGAAGCCAGTTCTTACAGAGCTCATACTACGGTGCTGAGCGTGCGATATGCACCTCTCACTTACCCTCGGTCACAATCCTGTAGATTCTTTTACTATTCCACTTTCCAGAGGAGGAAACCAAGACCAAAGTACAGTAAAAAGAATCCCATTCCTGATCGACAAGGTGTGGCCAGGCATCAAGTACTTTTCCATACGGGAATTCATTTATTCCTGCAATTAATCTCAGCACTAGGAGATGCCTCTATCTTATCATCCTGTTTTACAGATGGGAAACTGAGGCACAGAGTGATTTTTTTTTTATTTTTTAAAGTAACTTGCCCAATTCACAGTACTAGAAAATGACTGTAGAAATAGGATTTGAACTCACACAGTCTGACAGAGAGCCACTCTGCTGTGGAAAGATCTGGTACTTGCTTTTCTGTTTTTGTTTTTGGTACCCAGGATTGAACTCAGGGGCGCATAACCACTGAGCCACCTCCTCAGTCCTTTTTGTTTTTTTTAATCTTGAGACAGGGTCTCACTAAGTTGCTGAGGCTGGCCTCAAACTTGCGATCCTCCTGCCTCAGCCTCCCGAGTCTCTGGGATTACAGGTGTGGGCCACTGCACCTGGCTAAAGTTTGCTTCTAAGGAGAGAAAATGAGAAGACTGAGGCATGATCCCCAACCTGCAGGGAAAGCCGGGCATCAGAAGCTTCTGGAATCTCAGCCCAGGGACTCAGCTCGGACAATACAGGGTACATGCCCCGGGGCTGTGGGGACTGGTACCACCTCTCTCTCTTTTCTGGGGCTCCTCCCCGGCCCGAGGAGCTGCACTTGATGATTTGCAGGCCCTTCCTCCTGGCCTTTACCCAGACTCTCTGACCATGTCCCTCTCCCAGCCCCAGGGGTGGGACCAGACACGTGGCTGAGAAGCTTCAAAACTGCGTTCCCAAAATATCTGAGCGACTGGCAGATGGAGATGTTGTATGCAGGCGCGGGAGGAAAGCGAATTAGAAATAAAATGAAAGATAGCTAGCGAGAACATAAACAGCGTTGGAGGACTGGATGGAGCCGGAGGTACTTTCCTGCTTCCTTGTTTCTGAAATTCTGGTTTGGACCAGCAAAGAAAAAGAAAAGGCAATTGCTTATTCATCCATCTACCCCTCTGTGCAAAAAATATTTATTGAGCATGTACTAAAGTGCAGAGAGTCAGGACAACTTGTCTGGGATGCAGACCCTTAGACTGCGGTCACCCTTTGAAGCATGCCAACGTGCACAGATCTCTGTTCCTCTCGGAATATCACTCCCCGGGATCCAAAGTGCCCCACCATCAGCACTGGGAGGCCATCACCCATCTCAGAAGCCCCGTGTGAAACCAGCTGAACTACAGCTACCCCACGGGCCAGCCGGCGGGACCCAGCTTGCCAAACAAAACAAGGGGTTCAGGACACATCCCCACCAGCAGCCGAGATGCCCCACGGAGCCTCACACCCCAGAATCAATCTCTCTCCGGTGGCCCGGACCCGACTCTCAGGTGGTACTTACAGCCAGGGAGGAGTCTGCGCTGGGAAAGGCCCCAGGATTTCCACTTCATCCTCACTTGACTGGCAGCAGCTGGACTCGTAGCACTTCTGACAGCAGTGCCGGCAGCTCCATCTACACATCAGCAGATCAGAGATTCTAGAAAGAAAACCCTGAGGCCCCGGGGGAGGTGGGCAGCGGGCGAGGGGGGAGAGGGAGGGGAGAAACAACACCCAAAATTACAAGCAGCCGATCCCCGGCGGGAAACAAAGACAGGAGCATGACTCGGACTCGGAGCCCGGAGAGCAAGATGTTTTCCATCTCTGTTTACCCACCGAGGCACAGAGACGGCCAACATCTGCGCGCCCAAGGCGCTGACAGCCAGCCACACACATTTGCAGGTATTTCTTTCCTAGTGTCTGGGAGCATCTTTCTTGGTTGGCCTTTGAGTGTTTTCTAGAACCCCGTGAGGGCTAGACAATAGGTTCTCCCAACACCTATGAGTCTTACTCTCTTCTTGCAAAGCAAAGAAGCAAAAAAAAATTGTTTTCTTTTTTTTTCCCCCAATGATCTCGAAAGTGAACCGGGAGAGTCAAGCGGAATGAGCCGGGGTAGGGAGGGACATCTGTCTTGCTATTAGTGCTTCCTCTGACACGGGGATTGCCTTTCAGTCGAAAGGCGGGGGAAACGGGGTGCCCCTGGTCCACAGCCAGTTATTACTGAATCGTCAACGTCCCCGAAGCCCCACATGACACTCCAAAACGAGAGACAAGCCCTTCTTGATGAGAAAACCAGACCCAACACATCATCGAATTAACCCACCTCGTTCAGTGGTTCCAGCTGCCCTTTTAGAGATCCACACCGAAGCCCAGGGGCGGGAGGAGGTGAGGGTTGGAAGAGAGAGAGAGAGACCAGTTTAGCCATATTCCAAAAAAAAAAAAGAGAGAGAGAGAGAGAAGCACGTCACCTGGAAGGCACCCTGCATCTTCCACTTACCATCCTGGGAAGGGAGAGGAGTTTCTAACAAGGTGTTGCTATGCTCAGGACTGCTGGTAGCCTCCTGATTAGCCAACACCGAATGAATGGGCAACTTGAGCATTTCGATTGGGTTTGCACCGTATGCTGTTATGAATCAGAGCGGGTGGATAGAGAGTCATGCTATCCAGCACAGCCAGACTCCAGGGGACTCGCAAACCTTCCTATACAGAAATAGCCACTAAGCCACCCCAAAAGGACATGATGAGCTAGCGTGCAGGCAGGCACCGAATGGATGTCACTTGGAGCCCACGCCCTGCCGGAGGCCCTACCTTCCAATTCTGCTCCAATAGTGATGTGCAGAGTTTTATATGACCACCCACTAATTGGGGGAGTTGGACAGGAAGCTGCAATCAGGTCCTCAGGAGGCGGGGGGTGGGGGGCCCCCCCCACACACACCCCGTCTTCTTCTCACAGGTTCTCAAGGCGCAGACTCCCCCACCCTCTTGCTAATGACTTTCAAATGGGCCAAGGAAACCAGGAAGCTCAGGGGCCTGCAGCCCAGCCCAGGATGCCTCCCGAGATGCACTGGGGTGCCCAGCTCAGAACTTTGAAATCAAGAGGGAGACGTTATCATCTTTTTTTTGGGGGGGGGTCTCTTGCAAGCAGGGAGAAGGTCTCCGTTTCTCCCATGGACATATTAACATCTTTCTGACCCTGGATCACACCCACCTTCCCTCTGAAACAAAGGAAGGTGAGCCCAGCTCTGAGCCCCAGGTCCACCTACCCAGCTAGCAGGGAATGATACGGAGTCGCTTTCCAGTTACTTTCTGCATCCACCACCACGTGATCCCGGTTTCCTATTAGGGTACTTGACATAAAGTTTCCTCTTCACATGATTTTTTGAAGTTAAAAAAAGTCCATTTATAGAAAAAACAATTAATAACAGTATAGGTCATACATGGCTCATGAAAAGTTCAGAATCCTTGAAACTGCCAGAGATGAACTGCAGCTTGGGAAAGACTCCAACATACTCCCCCAAACTCCAAACTCAAACCACACACAGAACAATATCTGAAGGTGCACCCAAAGGAGCCGGGTGGGGGAGTACCAATCCTGGCCCTGCCCCACTGACTGGCCATGTGACTTGAGCAAGTCAGAGAGCCTCTCTGAACCTGTTGCTTCTTTTGTTTAGTAGAAAGGCCACTCCCTACTTAAAGGGGTGCTGTTGAGATGGGACATGGACTTTGAAAAAGCTTGGGTACTGCCTGGCTGCAAAATAAAATGCACTCTTTCTGTGTCTTATGAGAACAAGGTGATTGATTGCCCAGGCCCCAGGTATTGTCCTGGCACATACACAGAAGTACACGGATCAGCAGGAATCTATCACCTGGCGGGGTTTACAGGTGAAAGTGCTTCAACTTTGTTTGGAATAAAGTGATGTTTATTTACAAAGTCCCATGTCCATTCTCTCGTTCCCTGGGCATAGGCTGGTCAAGAGGGAACCATCTATAAAACCATGATGACCACACCCAAGGCCACTGTGTGCCCCTGCTGAGGATGCACAGTTTTATCAAAGCCCAGGAGCAAGATGAGTGTCGTGGAGCAAAAAGAACCATGAAAGGGTCAAGGGAGGAGAGGTCCTCTGGATTGCTGACTCTTCCTCACACTGGGGGCCCTGGGCTCATGGGTGGTCAGCAATGGAGAACTGATTGAGACCAGAAGGTAAGGGAAGGAGAACCCAGCTAGTCTAAACAGAGGCGGGCAGGTAAGACTCCAAGGTCAGCGCTGGCCACAGAGCCTGCTTCTCTCTACAGCCCTCCAGCTAAAATGGATTGGTATATTTTAAATGGCTGGGGGGGAAAAAGTCCAAAGTAGGTTACTCCTTATGGACTTGTGCAAAATGTCCGAAATTTAAATTTCAATGTCCCAAACAATTAGTTTTATTGGAACACAGCCACGCCCACTCAAGGACTGCGATGGCTGCTTTACCCAGACAGAGTTGAAGAGCTTTGACAAGGAACATGTGAGCCTCCAAGAAAAAAAAATATTCACTTTCTGGCACTTCACAGAAGTTCACCAACTTGTTCTGTAAGGAAAAGTCGGTATCAGGAGCCCTCACGTGAGATGCTGAAGGTTACCTCCCATACTATCCCCAATGGGCATTTTAGATCCCACCTGGACCCCTGAGCAGCTGGGTGGCCTTGGGCAAGCATTAATTTCTGGGCTGCAGGTAGTCATTAAAAGCCCCCAAAGGCTTGTTTTAAGGTTCATTTTTCAGTAGATTGTGCATCCAGAGGGGCAGGGACTGTGCTGCTGTGTCCTCAGCACAGGGGGTGGTCACCCAAGCATTTGTCCAGTGACGAGTGAACAGTCTCCGGACAACATTCAGCACATAGTAAATATGACCTTCGTTGAACTTGAAATGAGGACCTAGGGATTCCACGAAAAGGAAGCCAATCCAGGGATTCTTAGCCTCAAAAAGGAGTGGGGAGTCTCTGCCAGGTGACAGACCACAGAGTCCTTGGGTCTGGGGACAAGAAGAAGGAATTCGTGAGCCAGCAGCCCCCAGCCTGGGCTGAGGGGATAAGATGAGGCCCGGGGAGGGGTAAGCGTTGGCTTTGCTGCCAGGCTCAGGCGGAGGAGCCAGCTCCTGAAGGCAGCAGCTCCATGGGTCTGACAGCCAGTCTGACTGTGTGACCTTGGCATTGACCTGTCGCCACTTCTCTCTTTGCAGAGGAGAAACGTCTCTCAGCCCAGCTCATCCCCACCCCACCTGCCAAAAAGGTGCTTGGAGATTATTTCAGCCCATGGGCTCCTGGGGGAGCTTCTTCAAGGTGAAGGGGGGAGGGTCCAAACTCCCAGACCCCAATGCAACGAGCTAAAGTGCCCAGCTCCTTCACCTTCGCCAATGCGCTCTGGCCTCTATGTCCCCCACCCCTCAGTACTCAGTGCCCGGGAGAGACGACGTCCTTGTCCCTCCTGGCCGGAACAGCTGCCTCAAGCTCGCTCCGCCGGCCAATTAGCCGGAGCCGTCACCACGGCAACGGCAGCTGGCGGGCCGGGCAGCTGGCGGGCCGGGCGGCTGGCGCGCCCCGGGCCGCCCTCTCCGCGGCCCCTCCCCTGGGGTGGGGTGCCAGGGGGAGGACAGGCGGGCGGGGGGGGGGGGTCCGCCCCACCCCCATTCCCTCCCGGGGAGGCGAGGGCGCGCAGGCAGAGCCCACGAGGGCCCTCCATCCCGGGGTCCCGGGGTCCCCTGTTCTTTTCCCGGGGCGCACCGCCGCTGCCGCACGGGTCGCCTGCGCTCGGGCACCCTTTTTTCTCGAGGCAAGTTTGTGGGAGCCTGGCCGCGTGCCCTCCCCTCGGCGCGCGCCCAGCCGGAGGGCGCTGCCCCCGGCGGCCCGCGCCCCCGCCTCAGCCCTACCTGGATGTACGCCATCTTCGCCCGCGCGCACTCACTCCGGCCCGGGCATGGCGCCGCCACCGCCACTTTGCCCTCGCCGACAGGGGCGGGGGGAGAAAGCAAGGGGGAAAGGAAGGAGAAGGCAGCCGGTGGCCCCAGACGTGACTGGCGTGGCTGATGAGCGACGCCCGCCCCTCCGCCGGCCGCCCCGTCCTTGCCTCCCCTGCGTTCCGGCTCTCGGAGTCGGGCCGCCTCCCCGGATCGCAGAGCTCGGCACCCGGGGCCCCCGCCGCGGCCTCCCTGGCTGTCCCGCGCTCCCCCCGAGGCGCTCCCAGGCTGGAGTAAGGCCGGGCCGCCTGGGAGGGAGCCCGGGGCAGCCGCGGGGACTGCAGCGACCCCGGCGCGGGCGGGGCCGGAGACGCCGGGGCTGGAGCTCGCGGGAGGCGGGGGAGGGGACCGGGCTGGGGAAGGGGGTGGCGGGGGCGGCGCCCAGGTCAGCCCATCCGGCTGGCCCCAGCGTTGGCACCACCCGTAAGCGGCGCTCCGGGGGTGGCGGCAAAGGTCGGAGTGCACAGCCTAGCCCGCCCTGGGGTCCGGAGCTGGGAGAGTCCTCCATCCAGCCCTCTCCCCAAACCCGCTTGGAAAAACTTTATTCCCGCCCCACCCGACGCGCCTAGATCGGTTGCGGCGAAACAGGTAGAGGCTAAATGAGTGGGAGCCCTGAGCTAAAGGTGGGCGCAGGGAGCCCCAAGGGCGGTGCCGTGGCCGGGGCTCCAGGGGGCGCGCGGAGAGAGCGGAGCGCCCCGGTACCTAAACCTGCCCGAGTCGCGCCCTGGACGCAACAGGTCTAGCGCGGGGCGGCACAGCAGCGCCACCCAGCGTCGAGCCCGGCTCCTGCGCGCTTCAGCCCGCCCGCAACCGAGCCCGCCAGCGTGAGCCCCGGGGCGTGTCCACCGCCCGAGATCGTGGCTGAGGCGCCTGGACCCGAAGGCCTCAGCTAATCTCCCGGCCCAAGGTGCCCCCCCCAGCCCAAGGCCACAGAGCTCGGTGTGGCTCTGCATCGAGGAATTTGAATCGAAACATAGCCCTCCGCCGGTTCGCCTCTTTAAAGAACCAGCTGTCTCCTGTTGCTGGTCTCCAGCTTTTCAGCCTTTTAATTTTAATCTCCCAGCGCCTCTGGGGATAAAATCTCTGTCCTGCTTGTCCTCCAGGACTGTTTTGTGGGAGTAAGTGAGAAAGTGAACGCGGAAGTAATGAAGCATGCAATACACATATGTGTATTTATTTTGTGTAAAAAGCCAGCTGGTGTGGATTTTGAGCATGATATGTTTAGTTTGTAGCACAGCACATGGAACATGCTGTGCGCTCCTAATCCGGCGGGCATAAAGCCAACGCTTCCTGGGCATTTTTCTATGTCATCCTCGTGCACCTTTGCTCACCCGAGTTCCTCTAGCACAAGCCTGAGTGTAGTAAGTAGAGAGCGAGGTTTTTTGAGGTTGTTGGGTTTTTTTTTTTGGGGGGGGGGGGGGGGGGGGGTTGCTGGATGGAACCCAGGGCCTTGGGCATGCGAGACACTCTAGCAGTCTACCAACTGAGCTATTTCCCCAGCCCCAAGTGAGGGTTTTGCTATTGCTGCTGACATTGCTTCTGGAACGGGTGCTGCAATGATCCCCAAATTACAGATGGGGGAGACTGAGGGACAGAGAAGTAAAGCTGCTCACCGGGGGCCTGACAGCTGGTGTTGTAGGCCCTGGTCTTTCACACTGTTCTTAGCCACCTGGCCATGTTTCCCCAGCACTGATGGAGCGAACGCGGAGGTAATGAAGTGTTTGACTGGGGGGTGGACTGAGCCAAAGAAGGATGCCTAGGGAACTGGTGTGCCTTGTGGGCACACCAAGGAGGTGGAGGAGTTGCCAGCTAGCCTTTGAACAATGCCAGGCACTGTTTCCAGCTTTTCCCACAAATTCTATCTTAATTCTCTGATTAGCAGGAGGTAGGTGCCCTTACCATCCCACTCTTCAAATGATCGCAAAAAAAAGGAGGGGCAAAGAGGTGAAGTGACCTTCCCAGGGTGTATAACAGCGTCCAGGGCCTGGGGTTCAAATCCAGATAGGGTGTACTTGAGTTTGTCCCCCATTCTCTGCATCCTGCTGTCTCATAACACCTGACCTTGGGGGAAGGGTGAGAACACTTAGAGTTAATTTAATACCTTAATCTCTTTAAGATCTGAAAATGGGAAAACCAAGCTCCACTCCCCTAAGGGAAGAGCTATGCAAATATTGGTGGAGAAGCCCCCAGTGCAGGTATTGACAAATGCACAGAATTACACGCAACACGTGGTGTGATAAAGAGAGGCCCAGGGGACTTTTACCTAGGAGGGACCCAACCTAGTTTGATGAGGGTCATAAGGCTTCTTAAAGGGATGGCATTCAATTGAGTCCCAAAGAACTGAAGATGAGATTATTCTAGAGCTTAGTGGTGCTTAATTGGGTTAGGGGGTTTGTGGAAATATCTCTGCAGGGTCCCTGAACTTAGAAAGAATCCCAATCATATCTCCAGTGCCACCAACCTCTACCTGAAACTTAATATTTCTTTCCCTTACAAATGCCAGCAACAAATTAAAACAATGTGAGCCCTTAGCTGGGACTTTGTCACCCACAAAAATCATGTATGTTCACATCGACATTAAAAGTTGTTACAAATAACTTGAAATTTCATTTATACCCTTTCCTGTTTGAAAATTACAATAGTTATTAGTCTCACCACTAGGGCTTTCTTTCCTGTTTGAAAATTACAATAGTTATTAGTCTCACCACTAGGGCTTTCTATTTAATGTGTTAACAACAACAACAACAAAAACACATATAGCTGGGCGCGGTGGCACACGCCTGTAATCCCAGTGAGTTGGGAGGCCAAGAGAGGAAGATTGCAAGTTCAAAGCCAGCCTCAGCAACTTAGCAAGACCCTATCTCAAAATAAGAAATAAAAAGGGCTGGCGATGTGGCTCAGTGGTTAAGTGCCTCTGGGTTCAATCCCTCATACCAAAAAAAGAAAAAAAAAAAAAAAAAAAAGCTCATATAGTACCATATTTAAAATTGTTTCGATACTTTGACAACTGTATGTGCAACTAATTTCATTATCATCCTATGTAGTCTATGCTTTAAAAAATTATTGGGAGATGCAATTTACAGGCTTCCACTATCTGCCAAGGGTCCCATGGCACAGAAAGGGTTAAGAGCTCCTAAAATCTTCCAGGGGAGACTGGGAACTGCAAGTCCTTCTCTGGCTGGGGTGGTTCCAGTACCCCATGGAACTGTATGTAGAGGAGGAACGTGATTGGAAAGATTGGGGGCAGGGGTATGCATGTCTACCTGGCTGTCTTTTTGCTGCAGGAGAAAAGCCCAGAGTCAGGGAGGCCGGTGGGAGGCTGTTTTAACAATTCAGAGAAGAAGCGAGGTGGGCTGAACCAAGACAATGGCCATGAACCCATGGCAGTAATGAGGTGACCTGGGGAGGGGTGGACGGCAGGCCAGGGTGGAGGGGAGAGGGACGAGAGCTTTCCTATTGGATATTTTGAGTCTCAGATATTTTCTAGAGTTCCTTAGAGAAACCCAATTGACCCAGCTTGAGCAAAAATAATAATCTATGAGCTCATTAACTGGGAAATCCAAAGGGCAAATCCTCCAGGCACAGCTGGAATTAGGGATGCTGTCAAAGTCATAAGGCTCTTTCTAGGTAGATCTCATCTCTTCACTGCCTCCTCGTAAATGTTAAAAAATTTTTTTTTTTCCTAGAGTAGATTTGCTTCCCATGGCTGAAAAAAATGGTCTTAAGTTTATATTTTTATAGTTTGTGCTCCAGAGGAAGAAAGATTTGACATCATCTCTTATGGAGAACTTCTGGTCCTGCTCAGGTCACATGCCTGCTGTGTCCAGAAGACCCTGTACTCTGCAGGAGCCCAGACAGGTGACTAGAGATACGTGGGCACAGTAAGCCGCAATCCTGCAAGGACCGTGCAGAGGCCGGGAGCGGCTGGCTCTCTAAGAAACGATGCTGGGAGATGGAAACATTGTGCCCACGATGAGGCAACCGTGGAACACCTGGGCAGTGTCCAGTGGGCAAAATAGATGGTTCTGGAATTCACCCCTTCCCAGCACAGAAGGACACTCAGAGCTAACCCTAGCCCTAACCCGAACCCTAACCCTGTCAATCACCTGCACTGGTGGCTTCTCCACCAGTGCCCTCCGGTGGGCACTTCTGGACTCATCCATCTTCAGCTGCTAAAACCAACCCGCCTTCTCGCTTTTCCTCTTGAGCACCCAGCCCTGGATGTGGGAGACACAGGCTCCTAATAATGGTCTTCTCTTTAAGACTCTTCAGAAAGTGGTCAGAGGTGGGAATGGAAACTGATGACTTCAGAATACCTACTGTAATTAAGAAGGGCCCCAAACTGGTAAAAACCAATCACTGGCATCCATTTGGGTCACGCAGATTCTGGTTAGGTGACTTTCTATTTCTGCCATCCGGGCTTAACGGCACTTGTCTTTGAAGTCAGTTTTAATTATAAGATTCCCAAACGTGCCATCCAGGTCCTGTTTTAGCTGTTCCCATAACCCTGGGCAGTGTTTCTGGCTGTCAGGGAAGTAGGAGGGCT